TGAATGTTATTGGATGTAACGATACTTGATGAAAATGGTGGATGCTTATTTTTATCTATTTCAATTTTAATGAAAAAAATAATACTTTTTAGGTCTTATTATTAATACTACTACAAAATATGCTTTGTTTTTAACATATTATAATTCTATTATTATCCAAAATATAAACAATTATTTTAATTAGTCATTTCTTTGCCATACTCGTGTCTTATATTTTTGAACTTTGTTATATTTTCTTGTCCGTATCGCATCAGATACGGCACCCGAACCCGTGCTTTTTAGAGTGGCGGTGATTGCATGGATAGTTAATTGGGTGGCAGTGGTGGCTGCATGGATGGAGCTGGTTCTTAGAGGGTGATAGTGCTTCATTGAGTGCTTTCTGCAGTTGGTGTAATGTAGTCCTCCTTTAGATTATTACATATTTCGACTTTGAGATTGCTATTTTCAAACTGGCTTTCTTGTATTTGATTTTCAACTTTTTATTGAAAATCTGGATTAACATTTTGATTTCCACTGGTTTCAGTCTTTGGATTTAGTCCTCCGGTGTTTGATTACAGCAGCATGATGGATCCTAAACCAAGAAGGAGTAGAAGAACTGATGGGAAGAAATGGAGTAGTAGTAGAGATTTGGTTCCAGGCCAGAAGTACTGTGAGCGGCATATGCACAGAGGCCGTCAGCGTTCAAGAAAGCATGTGGAATCTTCAAAAAATATTTCAGAATCTGATACAACCATAACCATCACATCCAGTGACACCACTACAGCTACCAATTCTTATAACACCACCAATACAATCGCCAATCTCTCTGTTTCTGTCCCTCCCAATCTTCAACTCATGATTCCCTCTCCCGACTATAGCAACAATGTCCCTGCCACTGTTGAAATTACCACTACCTCCTCTAGTAGTGGCAACAGTAGAGTTAACAAAATCAATGTCATCAGTGACTCATCTGCCACCCCTATCACCATCAATTTCTGCAATAGCAACAACAGAAGCAAAAACAATGTTGATGTCAATAGAGACACCACCGTCACCACCACTACCCCCACCACCACATTCATTAGTCTAGTTGCTGACAAATCCAACAGCAAAGACAACAGCTGCTGCATTGGTGACAAGGACACCGGATTTGAACATTCCAATTACAGATTGGTAAAGAGAAGCAGCAGCAATGTAAACGAAGTCAAAATTGGTGGTTCTGTAGCTCCAAGATTTGGCATCTCCCCGAAAAGTGTTATTCAAGGTGGTATTGCTAAGAACAAAATCCCTTGGTCATTTGATTTTTCACTACTTTTTTATTTTTGACTGATCTTATTTCCTCATGAGTTTTGAACAATTGTTTAGTTCTACATCTATTTTAGTTGGACTATCCTAGATTTTCTTGAAAAAAAATTGCGATGAATTTCTTTCATACATATTTTTTGGATTAAATTTGCGTAGTAGGTTTTTTTGATAAATATGAAATGTGGTTTGTTCCTCTCTACCATCCCTTGCAGTCACAGGTTGCAGTAGCTCAGTCTTTGAATATAGTACTTCTGCAGATACTGATTTACAGAGATGCAGAAGAACCGATGGTAAGAAATGGCAATGGAGTAGGGGTGTTGTTCCTGATCAGAAGTATTGTCAGTGGCACATGCACAGGGGGGCAAGAAAGCTATCCATAGCCTCGGTGTCGGCAATTATTTCCAAGGTTGATCCTCCCACAGTTTGGAGTTCTGCTGCTCCTATTGCTAAACCTAAAAAGCTGGATAATCGCATAAACTTGAACACCAATCTCTCTATCTCAATCACTCCAAGTCTTCAACCAAAAACAGAGGTGAAAATAGTTCTACTAGAAGCAGCAGCAGTGACGCCACCACCATCATCGATGAAAATACCAGCATCTATAATATGGCCTCTCTATCACCATAAAATCTCTGTATAACTAATACTTGTTAAACTCATAATCATGTTGCAAGCGTTTTGAGTAAAGATTTTCTAACGGGAAAACAGATTTTTGATGATAAAATAGGTGATATCTGAGTATCTTGGTATGCAATTGTGTATGGTAATTATTCTTAGACCATTCTTTGGTAGTGACAGGTTTATTCAGAACAGGGAGAGGAGGAATTTTGTTATGCTTCGAGTCTGGATTATGTTTTATTGTGCCAACATGCCATCAACGTGGTTCAGCCATAGTGGCAAACAGGGTTAAAAGCAAGGGGTCGTATTCTTCTTTTTTTTTTTTTTTTTTTTTTTGAGTCTTCTTCGAAAGGCTATTTGTGGATTTAAGCCAACCTGAAGTGGTTCAAGACATACTAGTTCGCCTCTCTGACTCGGTGGAAGGAGATTTTACCGTGCCAAGTTCAACCTACCTATGAATTTGATGAAAGGAAACTAAAGACTCCTAACTTAATTGCAATTAAACAGGCCAGTAGTCAGCAACTCTGAAAATGCATATAGTCCGAAAGGAGAAAAGTTCAAATTCTTGTCCAGGTTATTTAAGCAAATCAGTAATTGCATACTTAATGTGAACATTCTTTGCTAGTAGCAGCACTTAAACCCATTGGACAATGAGATCTTCACAAGTGCATTGGCATCAAGTCGCATGCTCTATAATGCAATGAGTGGGTAAAATCCCAGTATGCAGAAAACAGAGCACCTTCAGCTATAAGGATGCTAAGTGGAGGGGAAATAAAAGCTCATTTGATCAAACAAGTTTTTAAGTATGCGGAATGTAGAAGAAATGTTTGCTAGATAAGATGAACAGCTTTCCATAATAATTCTAAGACTCCCATCAACTAAACGACCAAAGATAGTCCAGCTTAGGAATCTGAATTGGTTTAACGTATAGATAACTTCATGCATATCTTTCAGTTTAGAAATTGTGGACTGTGGAGCTACCAATTTCACAGCTCTTCTATAACTTATACTCCAGCATGTCAAGTAACCAAATAAAATGGAGGCTGTTCCATCAAAAGACTTGATCACAACAACTTGCTTCAACTGCATATCTATAATGTTCCAAGAAGGAAAAAAAAGATATAAACTTACACTATAGTCAAAGCAGTCCATACCTTGTTTGCGGATGTGCCACCTGAGATATAAGAGTAGAAAAAAGCAACAACAGGAAATTTAAGCACTATCCTATTGTCCTTACCAATTCAAAGAGTCATTTATAACAGTAAGGTCAAACTAGTAGGAGATTTGGGAACCTGCTCGCCGAGTTAATGTTTGTAGCCTCTCCGAAACTTGGCCCTGCCATTTTGATATCTTTTGACGATAAGATTTCACCTTCTCCTGTTCACTGTTGAAAACCCACAAAGTTGAATGGGTATGGAACTCAACACAATCACTTTACACTCCATTTGGTTTGCAAAAAAGAATGCAATATAAGACTTAAGGTTGTACAACCATCATTTGCATTCATTTACCAGCAAGATTCCATATATCAATGACCCATCTTTAGTCCAGTTCAAAACCACTGGGAAAATTTAGCAGAAACCAAAATTGACGGCAAATAGCTGTGTTTTAAATATTTCATTTTTGTCATGCCAATTCCTGAAAGACAACTATGATGGGTTGTGACTACAATAAGATCAATTGTAGGTAAAACAAGTATTACACTAGGCGACTTTTAAGTCCTTGTCGTTGTCCTACTTGTACAGGAAGTGACTAAAAACTTCCATAATGACATTGCTTGGTCTATTCTGTTGGTTGCTGACATTGTTTTAATTGAGGAAACTAAACACAAACCAACACGAGATTATAAACAAATCAATGCTATTCGAGAATAACTGCCTGTGCGTGCAAGATCCTGCACAATATAAATACTAGAACAGATTTTTTCCGTGGTGAACACGTGTTCGTCAATCGAGTGGTTGATCTTGCTACTTGAATAGGTTGTGAGGGTCGAAGGTGGCCCAAGGTGGATAATGAATCGTTTTTTATGAGTCGCCTGAGTGATCCTGGAAGGTTAAAGGAGGTTTCTGGAACAAAGAAAAATAGGTTAGAAGGTCGCCGGAGTGTTTTACGGCGTATCCCCTCCGACGATCAAGTCAGTTCTTTGAGAGAGGGGAAGAAGAAAATATGGTATGATGGTTGAGAGAGGGTTTGTTGCGTACCTCTTTTCTGTGTTTGTGAGGACTATTTATACCTTAAAAACTCATCATTGCTGCCAGCGTAGCTAGTAGGTAATCATTGGAGGTGGGCAGTGTGCACACCAATTTCCATGAGTAATGTTCATATTCTTTACTGCTCGGGATCCCGAGCAACTAATGCTTTCTCTTCTGTCTGTCGAACATTTAATGATCTTCCCTCCACGGGGGTGTATGAAATGCCCAAATTTTGGGACATTTATTACCTTTCACTTCCGAGCCCCCATGCATTAAATGCTGTCTCATCAAGAGAATGATGCATTAAATACTTGTTTTCCCAAGTCGTGTGTCAGCAAGGGCATTCTAGTCTTTTTGTCTCTGATCTGACACAATACGTCACGTGCCCATTCCCCTTTGGTTGAGTCTTCTGCTTTCTTGTGCCTCCTGACACCATTTGAGTAAGACGAGGTCATGATGGCTAGTCTAACCTTGCCTAGGCTAGTAATCTGTCCATCAATAGCCCTTGTAGGAGCAAAAAATCCCAAGCGGATAGATACTCCTCAGTGCCGAGGGACTAGCATGATTTAGGACCGATGTACCCAAACTACCGAGGAATACGTGTCGGTCCATGGTGGTTTGGGGATCCTTGATCCCTGTGAATAGCATCCTCGGGACAGGGGGGTTGAAAACCGACGAAGACATGTCGGTATCACAGCGCGTCTTCATTGACACCGAGTACACGTGTCATCATCTGGGAGTGCCTAGAAATGTCCCATCACTACCTAAACTATAATCGAGCCTATACTACAAAAGTGGTTTAAAGTTTAAATGCAACGACATAAAATTAACAGATGAAGGAAAATTTCCATACCTAAAGGTGATGTAAGAAGGAACAGGGGTTGAATTGGCCTCTATCAATATCCGCTAGGCCTTCTGGTAATGCAAAACAGCATCATCCACCAAACCCCACTCTTCGGCCCTAACGGCCTTGGCGATCTCTTCTGTGTCCATCGCTCGATTGCTAGGGTTTTCCCGGGACTCAATTGAAGAAGTAGAAGGAGAATCAGTGAAGAGAGATCCCAGGGTTTCGATCAGTCCTTCTAATAAACTCATATCTAAGAGTGGATTGAACATAGAAATTTAGTCAAATTTTTTTTTTTGGATCGTAAGCCAATTTGGAGATGAAAATGTTTGGGTTCGTTGAACCAATCAGATAAGATACTCGTCAGATATTCGAGAATACGTATCCGATATATCTTTTAAGTATCTGATAATAATTAAATATTAAGATACTTCACAGATATTTTTATAGTAGACCAACATATATAATTTTTTAATTGAATTTTTAACATCTCTTTTTGAATTCACATATCATACAATACATTAACAAAAATTTCATATTATTTTAAAAGCACATGAGTGTTTTTTAAATATTATCTACAATTACATGTCAAAAGACCATATAGTAAAGTTATTACATTATAATCTCAACAAAAATTACTTCTAAATATTAGGTAAATATTAGCTTTGATTTATTTAATTAGTCACTTTCCTTGGTGAATATACCACAGCGACACGATATATATTTTATTGAAACTAAAAAGAATTATTAATTTTCTTTATCATATGTTAAAGAACAATTAAAATATATAAGTGTTAAGTTGGTTGAAAATAATAAAAATATTTTATTATAGTCATATTCATATTCTACTTTTTTAGATTTTGTCGTATTACTGTATCTGTATCGTATCATATCCGTATTTCATATCCGTATCCGTGCTTGATTAGTTAGCATTTTCATTCTATGGATTTCTTTGACTGCAACTCAAGTCTGAGAAGACATTATGAAATAAACAGAGCCAAATCATCAGGCTAAGCTTAAGAATACCCAATGGACCACCTCCGTGGATTTAATTTGGCCCAATAATCAGGCTAAGTGAACCAAAAAAACATGGCCCATAGTCCTATGGTTGGGCTATTGAGCTACCCATGGCCACCATGTTACCATTTGGTCCAAAAATGACTCGCAGATTTAGAAGTCAGTACAATTTTTTAAACTTATTAGAGTAAAAGTACAAAAACTTATTTTAGGTAAATTGCATATTTTTAAAAAATACCAGTATTGCCATTCGGTAAACAATGGAACGTATAATCTATTTGTATTCCTCCGTATATTATGGCTAAAATCAGTTAATGGGAGGTAAAAAAGGGAATTTAATTATCAAAACTCATATTCTTCGGCATCCTGATTCTATGGCAATGGGATAGTCATAGAATGACATAATTGTTTATTATTTCTATGTTAACCATTGAATATTCCACAAAAAAGAGTACTACGATAGTTCCAAATCCGACTGTTCATTGTCACCGACATCGTGCAGAACCTATTCAGCGTCTCTGGCAACTTCTTCACCGGAAATTTGAGGTGACATTCTATTTTTTTTTTCATTCATTGATTATTTAGTTTTTTTTTCTTAAACCTGTGTAAGTTGATTCAAAAATAAAACCAAATCCTAAAACCCTAATTTTGTGAAATTATATTAAGAATTTGCAGACGTATTATAGCATATGAATATGAAAAAAAATAATTTGGATCATGATTTTTTGATTAAAAATAGTTACGCAACTGTTTTAAATAACTATTTGAGATTCAAATATAGACAGTTCATATTAAAAATTTAATGGGTTTAACTGTGTTGTGTAACTATTATTCTAATTTTATGGATTCAATTCTTATAAGTCTGTTTTGGCAACTTTTATGGTTCATGATTTTTTTGATTAAAAATAGTTACGTAACTATTTTAAGTAACTATTTGAGATTCAAATATAGACAGTTTATATTCAAAATTTAATGGGTTTAACTGTGTTGCATAACTATTCTTATGATTTTAAGGATTCAATTTTTTTATTTGTTATCAGTAACTTTATTGATTAACTATTGAATATTTGTATCTTATTTGTGTTGTAACTATCTTGAGTATATGTTATTGAATCTAGCATAATGTTAATGGTCTTTTATGTCTCTATGGATTAATAATGTTAACGGTCTTTTTTGTCTCTGTAGATTAATTGTTGTTCTCATTCTTAATGGAGGTAAGTCAGAACAGAGGCCAAACTAATTCCAATGTGGTATCTGTATGGCCATTTCAATGGGTTACCCAATTCAAATTTTGGGTATAGTAACTTATCAAAACTCCCATTAGACATAAACTCAAACACAAGTAGCAATTCACCCTTTTCAACACACCAACATTGGAATTAAAATGAATATTTGTGCCTCAAACAAGCAATAACGGGCAATTCATCTAAGAATTTAGTTTTATCTTCATGAGAATGCTTTAATCTTTTCACTGTAGTAACAATTCCTGATTCTATGAAAAAGGCTTTGTAAATAGTGCCAAATGCCTTTTGTGGCTGAATTGAGCTCCTTGTATCTGAAAGCTCTTGGGGCTGTAACAAGCTCTGCTTTTAATGGATATTGTTTTACATATGGAATTTCAAATTATATGATAAACATTGGTTGCTTCAAATGCTTTACAGTATTTTGTGAACCTATTCATGATAAAATCTTAATTACTTTGTTCTAACTGTTTGATGTAACTGTTTGGTGTAGCTTCTGTAATTTGGAAACAGGCTATTTGTCCTAGTGCAAGGCTTTTGTGTTGCAAGATATATAAAAGTGTTGTGTTAGTTGATCCAAATTATCAAAGGATTGAGGTGATGCTAGTAAGTAAATGTGTATTATGTGGCCATGCAATGGAATCTGTAGAGCATGTGCTTAATCAGTGTGATTATTCTGCTATTATTTGGAGGAAATTATTTGTCTAATATGGGTTCTAGGCAGTGAGGGATGGCTTATCAACAGACTTCTCTCATGATCTCAAGCTTCCTTTGTGAGCCAAAATGTTGATGCTTCAGGATAAACAAGGAGTGCAAAAGCTGACGAAAGAAAAATGTTGCACGTTGCTTATTGTTTTTTGTATTTCTGTGTTGATTGGATTGGGTATAAGGCAGGGTTTGTCTGCCTTTTCTTACATTGTAATTCTTTTTTTGAACAATGAAATAAAGTGTTGATTTGTTGTTAAAAAAATTAAAATTACTCTTTCGTGTGATCTCTTGTTTTAAGCAGTTTGGATAATATGTTGGTGTAACCATTTGGGCGCTACTATTTAGTTGGCGATACTTATTCATGTAACTGTTTATCAGACTCTCAAGTGCTTTTGGATATGATTTCTGGTAAATTAATCATTCCATGGAAAATTAGAGGGTTGATTGCTCGAATTTATAGGAAGTTGAGTAATCTGACTTCTTCAGTGGCTCACACTTACATAGAAAGCAATATGGTGGCTGATTGTTTGGCCAGAAAAAGGGTTATAGATAAAACTGCTATTCAAACATGTAATTTTGCACGCAAAGGAACTTATTAGGAATTCACACTGGTTGGAATGTTCTTCAAATTGCAGCACACAGAAAATCTCATTGTTCACGTCACTATTCACATCACTGTTTAGCTGGTTTTTTTGTATGTTGATTATTCTAGCTGGCAGCTACTTCTCCTTCGGTTGGCCTGTTCAGTTGGTCTCCTTTGCTTCATCTCAAACAATTTTTTCCCCGTTCATCCCAAAAAACGAAAAACATAAAACAATCTTTGATTAATAATCTGAGAATAAAATAAAACAGTTAACAAACAATTACATAGTAACATTTTTTTGAAAACGTACATTAATGTCAATTTGAAAAATAGTTACACAATTTTTAAAAACAGTTACACCCATTAAACCCAAAGCAGTTTTTTTTCCCATTCATTCCAACAACGACCAACATACACAAAATCGAACGTATGAATTTTTCAAAAAAATGATCGAATAAAAGAAGAAATATAATTATTTTGTCTATACTAAAATAGTTACACCTATAAGAAACAATTACATCCATTAAGATTAAAACAGTTTTTTTCCTCCATTCCAACAAGGAATGAACATTAAAAAAAATCGAACATAGGAATATTTGGGACTAGATCTACTATCATGTGGGTGTTCTAAGATTTAAGATGCCAAATACACTGAATATAATTATGTATTGTCAAAATAAACGGGATACTGCTCTTCATAATTAGCACGGATTTGATTTGACACAGTCTTATTAAACGTGACATTTTTGTAACTCAAGTTTAACTTACTAAAAAAAAACTCAAGATTAATGCATTACTTGATTGAATCTTCCTAACTACGAATTTAATGATTGATCTGAGGGGTCAGAAAGCTCTTTAAAAAATGGAGTAAAACCTGAAAGCTTGTGGTCATATTGTTTATCTTATTGAGTTCAAGTAAAAAGATTTGTTCCCCTGCCCCAACCCAAATGAAAGGTTCTCTATTTGAGTGGACTTAATTAAGTTCTTCAATGTATTCAAGAACATTTCATATTTCACTGATACAGTATGTAATGGCTTCATCATTTCAATACCCAATTTATCATTTTTCTCCTAATATACATTTTACATCATTGTATTCATCTAGTGATTTTGTTTTTCTGAATCCCTATACAATGTGTGTGGTGTATTTAA